TGGAATTCAGACTTCAATTGTCACAAGGTTGAAAAGTTAGAATTCAGACATGCCATGATAACATTTATGGATGATACAATATGAATAGTAGGATCCAAGAAAAATAAGGAAAAGATCTTGGAGATAGCAAGAATTTTTTATAGGGCCAATGACTCTCAGATCAATAGTAACAAATCAGTTTTAGTTACTATTAACAATCCTAACTGTTATTTAGAAAAAGTCCAGACAGGTATTAAAAAAGAAATAGTTAAATAGCTTGATAGAACAGATAAAGTAAAATTTCTATAAATTTGAATGGCAACCAAAAGACCTTGATTGAACTAAAGGAAAGAATGCTTAAAGAAATTTATGTAATTGCTAAAGCTTTCAAAAATAAGGCTCAAACAAGCACAAATCAAATATTAGGAACTATTCAACCTGTTGACTTGTGACTTACTAGACCATTTTATAGACAAAGGCAACTTCCCGCTCCAAGTAATTAAGTTAGCTAAAGATATAAGAATTACTTTTCAAAGTTAAAAATGGCATGATATCTTTGAATGGGAAAAAGAAAATAGTTTAATCTGAGAATATCTCTTATCTAAGGAGTACTATATAATAAAGTTATATTATTACTAAGAAATAACAGATTGATGTATATAGATCAGCTAATCAACTATGAAGTAAATGAAGTGAGAAATTGGCGTATGCTCCAACTAAAGATGGGTCCCTAAAGGGGGAGGCAGGGCTCTAACCATAACAAGAGACAAAAAATATAGATAATTAAAAAGAATGCTAATCATCAACTAATATAGGGAAAGCTACTACAAAAAGAATTTAAGAAAAAAACAAAGATTGAATATTACAAGTACCAGAATAGTGAAAATGGTCAAGAGACAAACCTAATTAAATATATGAATTGTCCAAAAGGTTTTATTTAAAAACAAAGTTGCATCATTAAAAGAGATATAAAAGAGATATACAGTATATGATACCATATCTTAATACAAGAAAAAATATTAGAAGAGTTCAGATGTTAACAATCCCATGTTCTACAATATTTTTGAAAAAAACAATTAGAAAAACAATAGATAGCAATCAAGTATTTGTACAGAGTTTATAGGAACTATTCCAGCAGTCTTCTTTTCAAGATACCAAGATAGATTACGTAAATATAGAAAGTTGAAAAGAAATAATTATTAAAGAAAATGTTAAAGAAAGAGTATATCAAGATTACTTAATAAAGATATTCCAGTATAATCTAGGATCCAAACAAAAGTTAACCTTTTATTTAGATGGATCACTAATAAATTATGGTAGTGACAATATAAAGATAAGAGTAGCATGGATTCAAATAAGCAATATAGAAAAAGAAAGTAGATTTCAAATAAGGATAGATAGTTGAATCTCATTTATATGTGTAGAACTAACAACAATAGTTACAATACTCCTAATAGTTCCAATAGGTAGCTCTATTGAAATCTCCACAGATAGTCAAGCATGTATCTCAAAGTGGAAAATAGTTAAGAAAAATAATTCAAGAAGAATACATAAAAGATGACTAAAAGCTGATTACTATGAGCACGAATGGTAGAGCTGGTCAAGAAAAAAGATTTAGATCTGAAGCTTATAAAGGTCAAGACATATTCTCAAGATCCCCATAATGATGAAGCAGATGCTCTAGCCAAAGATGTTTTTAAACTTTTAGTAATAGAATAGAAAAATCTCATCTTATATAAAATCCTTACAGAAATCAAGTGGCAGAACAAAACTTTAGATGATTCTATAAGACAATTTATTAAGAAAATGAATAATGAGACTATAGTATATCAGTGGATATTACAAAACAGAATAGAAAGGAAATAAAGTCACCAAATTCAAGAACAATAAGACCATATATGGAATCTAGTATAGGAGAGAATGAATAGTCATATATGGAATACATCTTTCAAAGATTGTTAAAGAAAAAGCTTTCAAATCAAGCTAATGAATGATGAGCTAGCAATACTAAGTAAACTGATGATAAGAAGGCCAGACCTATACAAACAAGTAAAATGTACTGCATGTGATCTTCAGAAGGAAAAAATAATTAATCACTTGCTAAATATCCTGTGTATAAGGAACAGATAAAGAAGATATGGAATAAAGATCTTGAAGGAGTTCTAATAAATTTTAGAAAACTTTTACAGAAAAGAAAAAAGAAAGTAGAAGAGAAAAATACTAGATTAATAGTGGATAATAGTGAAGAAATAGGTGAAGTAGACAAGTAGATATCCAGGCTAATAGAATAGTTCTCAAAAATTAGTCAGAATATACTAAGTTTCTTTGCAAGATTAATAAGAAGTGAACTTATTTTTGAAATAGCAAATCTTAAATACTATAGTAAAAAAATTGGAAAAGAAGTAAGAAAATGAATCAAGAAGTTATAAAGTACAACTTGTAACCAGTTCCAGAAGAAGGTTTGGAATACAAGATATGAAAAGATAATAGAATAGAAAAGATTGTAAGGAATTCAAAAGAAGAATAAGATAAAAGATTCTCTAACCTTCCAGGTATCAAAATTATATAATTGGAAAGAAAAACTCTAATATTGGAGAAAGGAAGATTAAAAAATAAAGACCTAAAAAATGTCTTATCAAGAGAAGTTAGATTTGGGATAAGATAATTGGATTTCAAGTAATGTTAGAACTTAAAGAGTAATTTGCAGTAGTGACCTGCAGGTAATGATAGATCCTTAAAGTATTTAGCATATAAAATTTTGTAGATTACTTATGTCTTTTTTTGAGGGACAAAATTCATAGCTTTTCACTTTAATAGGAACAAAAATCAGGAAATATTATAAATCAATGATTTGAATAATAAAGAATAATTGTGAGTAGTTTTTTTATAGTTATTAATTTAAAATTTTTAATGTTTCCTAGTGAGGGACATTTGACTTTTGTTTCTATTTCCCTTTTTAGGGACCCATTTTTATCTGCAGGCAATGATATTAAGAGTTGGAAAGGTTTTCAACTGAACTCCTAATAGAGTAATAAATCATTCCTAAAGTTGTACTTAGAGTGATAATTACAAAAATAAGTAAGTTAGTTAGCATTTTTTAGCTTTAGTGATTCATATTATATGTACAGTTACAAATGTTTAATAAAGCATACATAACTTCCTGATGGAGGGTTAAAAAAAAAATTATATTAATCTTTATTAATTGATTTTTATTTAAGTAAAATATTAAATTAAAATATTTTTAGTTAAAGGAATAAAGTTTTTAATATTTATTAAAATAGAAACATTTATAATCGATTAAATTAAAAACTTTTTTATACAATTATTTTGATAATATAAATATAAATTTTAATTTTTAATTAATAAAAAATTAAAAGTCATATTTTTATATAATCGAACTTAAATAATTTATTAAAAGAATAATTAAATGTGAATTTCAAAAAATAGTCAGTAAATTTAATTAAAAGATATTTTCTTTTTATATGCTTTAACTATATATAAAAATTATTTAACTTTTGAATAAATTTTATTATAATTTTTAAAAAATATTTTCAAATCACTATTATTCTTTTTTTTTATTTATAATTATTTTTTATAAAATTTAATTTTTAGTAATTAAAAAAAGTCAAGTAATACTTTTACTATTAATAATAAAAAAATTTTCATAGAAAAAAATTTAATTATAAAATATTTAAATATTTTTTTATCTTTATTTTTAAAGTAAATTATAATAAAAAATTTTTTATAATAAAAGAATTTATTTTTTTTTCTTATTAATTTTTTTATATCTTTTAAAGCTTTAATTTTTTAAAATGATTTTAATTTAATTTTAAATATTTAAATAATATAATTTTTATTAAATATAATTGATCAATATAAAATTTATTAATTTTTTAAATATAAATAATCATTTATTAATTATAATTATATATTGAATAATATTCTTAATAATAATAGAAAATCTATAAAAAAAATTCTCTTTTAATTAATAAGTTTTTAAAAAATTTTTTGATATTAAAGATTATATAAAAAATTATATAATACATTAAATTTTATTTTTTATTAAGTTTCTTAGATAATAAAAATATTTTTGAAAAAAGTTTTCTTATTTCAATTAAACAAACTTTTTTATAATACTGTATAATATTGATTTTAAGGATATAATAAGCAAATCTATATACAGTATTAATAGAAGAATAAATTTCTCAAATATTCTTTAAAAAGCTTATACTAAGGATGGATAAGTTTATTAAATAGTTTGATATAAAAAATTATATTTTAATTGGATAGATTTTTTTCGAAAAAAAAAAGTTATTAACTTATGTAAATAAGAATTTTTTAAAAAACCTTGAATTGTTTTTTCTTTTTATCTCTTATCCAATTCATGAATTTGATAATTTATTATTTTTTGAAATGATCAATAAAATGATTATTAACAATAATCCTGATAGATAGAAATTATAGCATCAATATATCAAGGGGGTAAAATATTATTCCCTAAATCTAACTTAAAGAATCTGTTTGAGATTTTGTTTTGTTTAATTTGAATTAATTAAATGGACACCTTATATTTTCCATAAAGCTATAAAAAAATTTGGTAAAATTGATTTCCATAAATAACTATATACTATATTCGCTCCCTAAATAAACCCTTTGCTTTTTTTGCTGTATTCCCGAGGGGCTCATTTAGGGAGGTTTCTCGATACAATATTTACTGTAAAACTGATCATTGGTTGGTGCCAACCGTACGTATGTAAAAAAAAAAATTCGGGCGTTACAGCGTTACATTATAAATTGACTTTGAAAAATTACGCAGTTGTGTACCCATATAGTCCTTTTTATATAAAGACTTGGACATATACGTGAAACCTGGCCCAAGTCTATTACGCTTTGCTCTATTGACAGCCCTGCCAAACTTTTCAAGTTCTGAAGATATAATACTAAATATTAATTATAGTATCTGTTGTGAGCGCTAGACTTGAATGCCTTAATGCCCGATGTTGTAAAAAATTGATTTCAATATGAGGCGTAATAAAAGCTTGGTCTTCTTGTTATCATTTTTAGTTTACTTTATTTCGAGAATTACTGGTTTTACACCAAACCCAAGATATGCTCAAACGTCAGTTATAGTTGGCGCCAAGCTCTACTACGCTGGCGGGTTCGTCGACTCTTCAATTCGTTCAAACGAAACATTCTACCTAGATCTTTCTAATTCATTCCAAACTAGTAGTCCACTTTGGGAATCTTTGGGAGAAATTATCCCAGTTTCACCCGATTATTCTACCACTATTCTTAGCCCGCTTGACAACTCTACAATCTATCTTATTGGTGGTTACATGGTAAACCCTATAACAAACATGCCAGATTTAAATATAACAGTATATACATTTGATACAATCAGTTTAAAATGGAACGCGCTTCTTACAAACGGTAGTTCACGACAAGAAATGGATGCAGTGGTGGATAGTTCGGGAAAAATTTATGTGTTTGGCGGACGTGGAACAAACACAGATAATTATTATAACGATATCAACATACTAAATATTGGCACAAATTATTGGACAAATATTCCAGCAACTTCGAGTTCTCCTTACTCGCTAGCTGATTATACCGCCACACTTTTACCGAATGGTATTATTGTTTATATTGGTGGATTTACTGGTGTTGATTTAATAACTGATCTAAAACAGGTGAAGGCTTTTGGAATCCTCTGTGACTGTTATTGCGTTGCTAAAAATTTGCATTTATTATTAGCTTCAGCTTTTCAATACCTTAAATTCGAGCTGGTACTCAATGGTAACTATCATTATAAATGGATTGTACATAAGAAAGTGCCAAATTATAATAAATTTTATTAAACAATAATTTCTTTAAAATCAAGAGTTCTACAGGAGGTGATTTACCAGGACGTCGATTTCACACCGCCGTACTAAGTACATATATTTCCAACATTTAGTTTGCATTTGTTTCACATTTATTTGTTAACAAATCTCAATCTCGCTTTGTATTAAAAAAGCTTCAGATAACAAAATTATTGTTTATGGGGGAGCAGGAGGAAAATTGACAACGGATTACAGTATGGTTACACCTGTTCTCGCCGTATTAGACACATTGTCGTATAATTGGTATATTCCAAATACTACGACCAATTCTAACACTCCTCCCCCTTTGTGTCAACATTCGGCAAATTTACATGGAAATTATATGATTGTTTCGTTTGGTAAACTTTTTATCGGAGTTAATTCAATTCACATTTATCCTTGATCTAATTGTACTATGTGAATTAGGATTTAAGGTAAATGCACAAGGGAGTAATACAAGTCTCAACGAAAATCTGTATCTTCTTGATATTACGAGTTACACTTGGGTCGATCAATTTGTCGCATCTCCCTCTCCATCACCAGCGTCATCTTCTACATCTTCGGTTCCCATTGATACTTCAACTTCCATGCCTAATTACTCAACCCCGACAAGTTCGAATACCGATCAGCGGTTGATAATAGGCTTGAGTGTTTCACTTGGTTTACTTGGGCTCATATGCATTTTCAGTCTGATATATTTTTTAATGAGAAAGATTGAGATAACTCGCAGCGGTAGTGGTGTTATAAGAATCGCAGGTGAAGACAATCCGATTATTTGAGCAAATTTTTATCCATTATATAAAAGTGCATGTGCTTTATAAGATCTATTTTTAATATAATATTTTTGAACAATAAAGTAAAATTGATTAATTTATAGAATTTAGGTTTTAAAATTTTAACATACAAATTTAAAAATATTTTTTTATATTTATTTAATAACTTTAATTTTAAATAATATATAAAGTATTCAAAAATAATTTAATTATTTATAATTTTGAACTAAAATTAATATAGAATACTTGTTATTTAAGTATATTAATCAAAAAACAATTAATAAAAATAATATTATAAATTTATTTTGAAATAATAATTTGTAGGCAATAATATTTATAATTAAAAGAATATTTATATTGAACTATAAATAGAATAACAAATTACTTATTTAGAGTTAAATTGATAAATACAAATAAATTCATTATATTTATAATTTCAATATCTTATAAATACTTATATATGATAAATAGTATAATCATTTAATAAAATATATAGTTAATTTAATAAAAAAATATTATTTTATTTTATTTTATTTTTTTTTTTTGTGTACCCGTAGCCAGGCTAGATCGTCAGTTTATTAATCAAATGAAGACAAAAGTACATTTTCATTCGAGCAGCATGAT